GGGATGGCAAAACATGAGACACAAATCCTGTCTGCAGACTTGACCAGAGCGGGAACTGTGGATAATGGCTTTTAAAGTAACGTGATCTTAATTCTATAGTGTAGTCTGGAAGTGCTATAGGATCATGTGTATCACTAAGAGATTAGTTGTGATGAAAAGCCCATCCTTTACCAGCAGTGCTATCTACGTACATGGTGTAGTACAAGAGGAAGTTTATTCCTGGAGCACCTCTGCCTATACCTCTCCCTCACCCCTCAAGCAACTCAAACACCTGTTTTTTCTCTCTGCCCAGAGCAATTCTGTGTCTGCTTCTGATAATGTTGGGATCATCCTAGAGTTGTATGAAGTCTCACTTTTAAGTACCCGAACTTTTGAAAAGGTATTGTCTGAAATATGGACTTTACAGTTGAAATATGGACTTTACAGTTGAAATATGGTATAGAAAGCTCAGAATCAGATTGCTTTTGAACAGTCTGAGTCATGGGTTGGCAGTAGTGTCAGCTCTAGCTGACTTGCCCAAAAGTTCTCATATTTGTGCTGTCATCTTGGTACCCCTTTCAACAGTCTTCATCTGCATTACATACAAGCAGACAAAAGTACCATTTGATTCCAGGTTTATAGTAACTTTATTAAAATACAAAGCGTTTTGTTAGTAGAATTTAACAATTTTAAAAATATAAGACACTTGTGTATACATAGTTCTCTAGGGCAGGGAGTTACTATGAGTTTGTGAAATACAGATTCCAGACGCAGTTTGTTCTTGCTTATTCAGAGAAAAGCAAAGGAATAAGTAAAACAATTGTTTCACGTTTATCTCACATGAGGGTGAAACTGAAGTAACTTCTTAGAGGTCAGTGGGTAGAATAAGTCTTCCCCAGGTCCACGCTGAATAGGGTTTCATTCATAGTTACCCTGAATTACTCCAGGTCACCCCTTGGTGAGAGTATCCATACATCATCGTGGACTGAGCTAATAGTGCAATACTGCATATAATAATAGAAAGCCCAAGGATCTTCTTTTGAATATTGCACTGATCAGGTGATAGCCCGAAGCATACGATTAATTTACTTATAGATTATATAGGTATGAGTAACTATTAAATTATATAGCACCTTCTCAAACCCAGCACTCAACACAAAACATTCTGACCTCTATCAGGAGGGAGGTCTACAGTCATCCTGCTCTGTGGGAGGTCATCTTCTTCCCTACAGTATGTGAAACTGTCATTCACTCTTAAATACCATACTCGTCAGGACAGCAAGGATGAGAAGATTCATTCTCATTCATTCTACATTCAGTTGTAAATAAATATTAGCAAGCATTTCAGAAAATAAACAGTGTAACAGCTATAAAGTGAAGAAGTCAGCAGACGTTCAACTAGTGATGAACAGACTCTGATGAGTTTGTGTTTGTTCAGAGGTTTTATTGCCAATTAATAAATAGGAATTAAAAGCAGTTACTTAGGTTTTCTTCCCTGTTATGTGCAGCACTGATGATGATTCCATTTAGTTGGCCTTAGATGCTTGCCTAGGACAGGATTATTTGCCTTTGGTGGTACGTTTTTGGTCTATTTTCTTTATAGCAGACTGCACCCATTTCTGATCAGGGCTCACACAGATCTTGATACCTTTTGTGGTGATAAACCTGTAGGAAGAAAGAAAGCAAACCAGGTGGCCATTAAATTCCAGTCTCCAAACCCAGGTTTACTGTTCTTGGTTTTTATGCAGAACACAAGGAACCATGTGGTAAAACCATATCACACACTAGAGTTTGTAGTTGTTACTTGGAATAACAGTACTTAGCAACATTAGTTCCCTATTTATGGCATAGGCATGTATATAACATACATGGTTATGTGCAGAGATATACTGACATTTAAAAAAGGACCATACCTGATAATCTAAGATTTTATATGAAATCATGATGCACATTTACCTCCCAGGAGCAGATCCCAGATTTGATAAAAATGCATGTTCATGAGATCAAAAGACCAATCACAGCTCCTAGCAGGAGTCAAGAGTTGCCCTGGACTCTTCCACATGATCTTTCCCTTTGGCTCAATTCAGTGTACTGTGCTTCTGACTGCTCCACCCTGTCCCCTTGCTGAGATTTTTTCCCCGCCTTCTGGGCACAAAATATCTGGCTGTTCAGTGAGACTTCTGCCAGTGTTTGTGAACAGCATACATCTCCCAGCTCTCTGAGGCCCACCTCTCTCCCCTCACTCTCTCAGCTGCCAGGTGACTGCTTCATGGGGAAATTGGAAGGGTGACGTGAATTTAGTGAGTTGGTGTCATGACACCATGAAGTGTCTTCTGATGCCCTTTCCCTTTTTGACGGTAGCATGTTTGCATAGATGAGTCTGAAGGTGAACTGTGCTCTGGATACTTACATGATGGCATTTACTGGAACCTGTTGCTTTTCATAGCTGACAAGGTTTCGGATGTTCAGTTGCTGTGTAGACAGTCTTACACAACTGAATCTGCGCATGCGCTGACTTCCAACACTTCCTAGAAGGGGAAACATAGATAAATCAAAAAGGCAGTCGATACTATATTCATATTTAGCCATAATTACTCAATAAATTATGAATTCCAGCAGATTTCCAGTTGTGGTTAGAACATGAGCGTCTCATGATGTACAGCCACAATACCAGTTATAGAAGAGAGTTAAAGGTATTTTTTGTGATGCATCCTACCATCTCTAAAGTCTTATTGCTATTTCAGTTAAGATACTAATCTTCACCCATTCTCCTGAACACTTTTATAATCATTCTGCCCCTAGGGAGTCATTGCTCCATAGCAGAAAAGGTATTTAGCATCATTCACAATTAGGTCTGTATCATCTGCAAATAAGTGTCCGTATGGCACCTCTACTGGGTGATTTTCCAAATGCCATCTGAATGTGGATCAGTAATTCCCCTTACTTTCAAACTGAAGGAAAAGAAAGCAAGGCTACTTGTCTCACACTGGACATCCACAGCTACCATTAAAAAAATTGCTGAAAGAAAGGGCAGTATATCTGCCAGAAGACTAAGTGCTTTCATACTCTTGCTGTAAGTCTGGTTTCATAGGCAATGGAGTGCTACTTGATCCTCTCTTTCCTCCAACATTTTCATACATTTCAGGGAAATGCACTGGTGATTAATAAAGAGGATCACAATATCAGTGTAAAATTCTCTGGGCAGTTGTTACAGTACACAATGATAACTAAAATGGGAGCTCATTTAAGCGAGATAGAGTGTATATATATACATTAGTGAAAGCCTCCACTTGCTAGTTTCTGGTTTTCTCCCACCCATCAAAGACAGGTTTGAGAAGGCATGAAGCAGACTAACAGAACACTGCTGTATTCTGAGGTTTCTTTTTAAAGAATGTATAGAGAAATTGGCTTGAAACAGGTCCAAGAGCTGTTCAGGAACAACTTGCTAAATATAAAACACGCTTCACATAATCTCATTATCTGCAAGGTTTTCTTTGTTTGAAATATTTGGAATAGCTGAGACAAACACACATCAGCTTTTGGAGAAGCTGTAGCATAGCCAGTGCATGGGTACTGGCAGAGTAGCTAGTTCTTGAGATTTTGTTTGCCTGAAGGAATATCTCTTCTGATCTTTATTCAAGAGTAACGTGATGTATTTTTTGATGATTCATTACAAATACATATCTTACTGCCTCACTCAGGTTGGTTTTCAAAACGTGGCATTAAAAAGCTCAAAGATAGTCAAGCAATCCTTACTAGTCCTGAAAATACACTCTGCTACTAAACTATCTCCAGGGAATGCATGCCGAGAATACCAGAAGAGCTCCTCTCAGCCTGGGAACAAAACCAAACTGCTCTGTACCTCTAACTACCCTTTTTTTCTGGTGTTTTTTTTTCTGGTTCTCATTCTTCTTTCTAATCCTTTTTCTATCCATTGCACACCACCTCAGTGTGCTTTTTCAGAGTTGGTGACATTTATGGCAAATTATACAACCTGGAGAATGACATTATGAACTGGCAGCCTGTGATACGAAGCCACATGTTGCCGAGATGAACAGCAGTAGCATTAATCAACGTACAAGAATGTAGTATGATCTAGCTCTGGGGGCACTAGGTCAACATACTCAGTGTGTAACTGCATAATCTCGTGAATGCTTAGCAGGTCTCAGTTTGGTTTTGGTGTGGTTTTCTGAAGATGCCTTTTCTGTGTGTTTCTCTTTGCATATTTTTGTGGGTTAGCATATGGCTTGCATGAGTGTTTTCTGTGATTTTTATGTGCTTGCTTGCGTGAATCTGATTGCGTATAAGAAGACATGTGCCTGTGTGTGTATGTTCATGTTTTCGCATGATACGTGTAGCCTAATCCAAAAGTCACAGACCTAAAGATCACCGTAGACAAACTTATTTAAAGCATGGCTAATAAACACAGCTCATCTCAGTGCTCATAAATGGTCTCAAAGATGTTAAATCCTATGAAATCAGGAAGATAGAGAAGACGTTGTATAAATCCATTGTTCTCCTTTGCAGTTTTTGTTCATAGTTTGCCTGTCCATACCAAAATATTTGGCTAGATACAAGCAAATAGGCAATATGTGGTACAAAACTGGAAGAACTTTTTAAAATAGGGACATTAGAGAGATTAAGGCTATATAGTTACAGAAAGACAAATAGCAAAAATAAAAATACATATAAAAGTAGTATATCTAGTAAAAGAAAAAAGAATACATATTATTCAAGAAATATTTTTCATAAAATGTTATTAACCTATAGAACTTATTGCTGTATGGCATCAGTGAAATTAAAAGACATTGGGTGTTCACGGTTTCATGATTTTAAGATAGAGAATAATGCACAGAAACCCTTTAAGTGTTCTAAGGCACAGAAAGTCTCCTTGCATTAAAGCAGAAACCAACCACTAATTGACAGGACATCAGATGAAATCTCCCATGAAGTTGCCTTTCTTGCAATTCTGATCTGGATTTCTTGCGAGTTTTCTCTTATGAATCAGCTCTGGTTGAGAATGAATCCTGCTCATCACACCATTGGTGCAATGTGGAGCAATTACTGTCTTCCTCTTGGGTTGTAAACTTACCTTTCACCGTGTGCGCAGTGAAGATGCCAAGGCAGAAGATGACGAGGATAGCTGCAGTGAGGAGTTTCATTGCTGGTGGCTCCTTTGTCGAGACAGAGAGGAAAGTGGCTATTGTCAGCTCTCTTTCACAGAGTTTATATATTGCCGTTCACTGGTCAGTTCTTGTGTTCACTTTTGGGGCGTCATGGGGGGCCTGACTATAAGTGGAAAAAATTGAGTGGCGGTACTTTTTCTGGTGACAGAGAACCACCTCCTTTCCCCCACCCGTCCTTCACTAGCCCCCCTGTGAAGGCTTTTCCTGCTCAAACCCTGCTGTGGTTGCACTTGCTTCTGTGTTGCGAGTAGGGTTTATTTCAAGCTGCAAAAAGTGAGAGCTCTTGTTCTGTAGTGGAAACGTTTAATAAATGTTCCTGTCCTTTCACACCTCAATTTACAGAGCTGTAGCTAAGCCACACCACAGAGGCACAGAGTAACATTCAGAGTTACCTCTTTGACCAATGGACCACTTAAAAGGGGAACTGTGAGCTAAAGGATGATGGAAACAGGAACGCCTTGGCTATTTCCATAGTGGCTGTAGGTAGTTGGTCACTTTAACACATAGCTTTGGAGGGGCATCACTACTATTTCCTATGCATGGTGGAGCTTGTCAAAACTTCTGTTTTCTCTGTGATTTGATATGGACAAAGCTGGTATCACTATGAGAAAGAAGAGTGAACACACTCTTACATACAGCACTAGATCCACTAGCCCTCCTGCCAGTCAGGCATAACTAAAATACAATGGTTTCAAAGAGGATTAAGAGTTTATAATGGGTTTTGTTTGCTTGTTTGTTTTTGTGATGTGGTGTTTCTAGTATAAAGAATGGAGCTCAAGACAGTAACCAGGTAATCAGAGAGGCACAATTTATAGGAAAGAAGAAAAAAGTTCCTTGTACTTCCATGTAAACATGCTGTTGATAACACGTCTGTCAACTTGTTCCAGTTGTACCTCTATCAAAAGTATCCTGTTTTGCAGTCTGTGCTAGTCCTATTACCCAGTTTTAGGTGTCCTTGCTACGTTGTGGTAAGGTGGTCTGAGTTACTGGACAGGATTGATACATGCCAGTGGTGGACCTCCAGGCCACACATGAAGCAGCACCTAAGCTGGCATCATCATCCAGGTCCTCTTATGCTTTACACTCTGGAGCACTTCTGTGCCTGGCAGAAAAAGCCATGCTTTGCTAGGCCCACGGAGACCCAGCCAAGCCCAGTGAGAATAGGTAAGCACCAGACTGCCTGATGCCTGAGACTGTAAGGCAGTGGTGTAGGATAGCTGTCAGCAAAGCCTGGAGCAAGTGTCTATTTATGTGAGTCTGAAGTTTCCGCTGCTCTTATCTCCAGGCCTCGCCTCAGCTGGTTACTACCAGCTTTCCAAATTCTTGATAACATCAGTGTAAATTTCTTTGCATGGGAAAACACAGCATGTGGAAGTCAATTCCCTAAGATTCCTCAGGCGAATTAAGGTTGAGCTAAGAACTGAGCTCAAATACTTGACTCGTAGGCTGTAATGGCTGGTCTGTAACCTCAGGAACAGTCTGTAGGTCTTGCAGGCGTAGAACACACTGCTTGGTTTACTTGTATATACGTGCATATTCTTTGTTCCTTTTGGTTTGATTCTTTCATCTCACATATACCATGCAACTCAGGAAAAAGCAAGGGCAAAAGTAGACAGTAAGCAGGTTTAAGGTATGTGCTGCTTTACTTGAACGCCCGCTAAACCCACTTGGAACACTAATGTAAGTTGCAACAAACTGGAAGCCAAAGCTTCAACCAAAGCCCCTAAAGGGCATCCCTCATGCCACACGGGGGAGTAACCATACTGACTTCGGTGGCACTACTGTGAAGTCTAATGTTAAGTTTGTGTCCAAGCGGTCTAACAGCCTTGTGTTTTGATGACCACTGCCTGAAATCACCACTTGAATGAGATAGTCTAACGTTTTGGTACTTGGCAGCTTTGAGATGCAAGATAGCAACTTTGTCATTGATGGTAGAGAGAAGTTTTCTCCCCATTAAGAGAGGAGATGCTCCTCCACTTCTGCTCACTGATCTGGTATGTACATGTATGTATACGCTCACTATCTACAGCTTTGAGAAGAAGGGTTACGGACTGTATGGAGCATGAGCCAGAGGGAAAAAGTCAGTCCTTCCCACAGAAGATTCTGCAGGTTCTAGATTCATCCCTGAGGTGTTAGAAAGCCTGATGCTTCTTCAGTTTTCCACTATTCTTAAGGTGGTATGGAAAAATTGCCCTGCGGCGAGTTTTTCCCCTCTTCATAGTTCTCATTTGCTGTGGCCTCCTGGGCTGTTGTTCCGTGTAGCTGGCTTATGTCCAGTGCAGTCTGTGTTTTGGAGAAGAGTTCTGTGGGCTGGAGTCCCACAGCCCTGTCTGTGGATATTTGGTGATCTCTGGTGTTCTAATGTTGCATAATGCTCATTTTGCATGAACTCTAACACCAGGTGTGCACTGCCTCTGTGCTGTGGCAAAAGTTTAGTGCAACATGATCAGCCACATGGTCTTTCTGTTTTCTTGCTGGTAAGTCATATTAAAAAGACAGCTAGTAAGTGCCCAAAGTACTTTTTCTATTAGTGCTTCTCAGCTCTGTATAAGTTGAATGCTAACGATACTTGTCCCGGGGCTTGACTGCCTCTTATATGGCTGCTTTCAAAGCATTCTGGAGTAAAATGATCATTTGCAGCTTGTGATACATCCACAGATGAAACGGACTGTATGATTATGGAGTTCTCTAATAGTTTGTAAAGTCTGAACTGTGGATAAAGGTGACTAACTTTCCCATGATGATTCCCAAAGCTTTGGTTACAAGTATGATGTTGTGTGCACCATAAGAGCTGCCCTTTCTCCTCCCCTCCATGTCTCATGTTTAACACCTGCACTGGTAGCTGAGAGAAAGCAGGTGCAGACAGTGGATATTGTAGGTATGGATGTGTAGATACATCAGTATGTAACCTCTGGAGCCTGCTCACATGCAGAACACCACAGGCTTTGAGTTATTCTTCTAGGCTTCCTAAACAACGTGGGTAGAGGCTGGGGCACACAGCCTTTGGAGAGGACAGCAACAGCAAGCTCCTGCTTGAGGAGTTCGAAGGCTCTCCGAAGCCCTTCAGTCCCTGTTCGCACAGAGCGGCCTGCCTCCATTTCACCAATACAGTGGCTGGGGCACAGAGAGGTGAAGGGACGTGCAAGACTTCTCACGCACAGCAGGTGCCGAAGTCAGGGCCTGCTCTAGCACAGCTCCTAGCCAACTGCTGAATGCAACGGTTTTCTTCATTTTTAACAAGGTCAAGTAATTTTTACTGAAATAATTGTTGTATATGCCTCGTTTCATGTCAGCAACCCTGCTGAAGGAAATGAAATATGCAGCGAACAGAGTGTTAGGCCTAATATCAGAGTCTACCAGGGTAAAGAGTCTGAAGTATTGCATCTTCTCATACTGTAGTTAGCTTTCAAAAAAGAGAGGCCAAGATCTTCACTAATAACTAAATTCTTATGCACTCTTAGAAATGAGTGTCTACTGAATGTTCAGCAGCCCCTTGAACATGAAGATGTGTCAGCAGGTCTTTTGAAGACTAAATCAAGGCATTCAGTGACTTTAAGAGGGGACCTAAGAACCTCAGCTTAAACACGTAGGTATCTCAGGCAACTGTTTTTAGGGTGGGAGATGTCACCCTCAGGAGATATATGTCTGTCTCTATTATCTACAGAAGCAAGATATGCGTGTATCACGGTAAGTGAGAGAAGTTTGGTGGGATAAACCTGACCCTAATGTATTTTGGGTTTGTGTTGTTTCTTAACAGTTGGATTACTGGTTTAAGTATTACCAGCAAGTGACATCCAGCTGTGATATTTACATGACTTTCCTTCCCCCCTTCTTCCTTTGTTTTTCATCACTTGTGCTCGTAGATTTCATGATGATTTCATAGGTACTTCTGGCATTTAATTTCACTTTCTTATTGAAATTGCTGTTGTCCTTCCCACAAGGCTTGTTAGTTCATGCTCCATAGTTCAGCATAGCTGAAACTATTTATTTTTAAGCTTGCATCTGAATTCATGGCTGCTAAGCAGCACAAATTAGGAATATAATAAAGACCCACGGAAGTCAGTATCCCACTTGAGTACCTGCTTAATTTTTTAGTTAGATCTGTGCATTGAAGTATGTTCAGCTGATGACAGAATTAGTGTGATTTAGGAAGTTTCCGTCCTTCACCTGGAAACAGCATTTTATGTTCAGTCTTCTTCATTCATATTGTAATGGAGCAGAAACACACACGTGCCTGGTGTTCACATCTCAGCTGAGAGACAATGGCTTTTAATCCAATTTGACCACTTAAATAACATTTTTAATAACTACTCTGTTTTGTGCTGGTTTTGGCAGAACTCCCTTTAGAAACCCTATTAACGATGCTTTCTCTTAATCATAATAGAGTTTTTGCTTGTAGACCATCTGTTTCCACTACCATCCTGCCAGCTTTTCCCTTGTCCTGATAACATGCTCCTCCCTTGATGTATCATGTGGTTTTAAATAACTTAGTTATATCAAAATCTTTCCTTCAGTCATCCAGCTTGAAGCATTCAGATACATAAAATTAGACTGAGAATGGTTTGGTTTGAAAGGCACCTTGAACCAAACATATAAATGCTACTCTATAGTCTATAGTCAACTCTACAGTCAGCTGTAGGGAGGCATGCACCTGTTTTGCTGATGTTTTAAGCTGATGAAACAGGAATGTGGCATTCTGCATATAGCAGAGGTCTTTGGTCTTTCTTTCATTCAGTGTTGATTTGGTGGTTTGTTTTTTTTTTTAATGAGCAGTTCTAAAGTCACCCAAGAGTTTACAAGAGGAAGACTCTGATCCCCATCTTTATAATCTTAGTCTTGTCTGTTTTAGTTCTTTGTGAGATGCATTCCAGGAAGCTAACTAAATACCGTGGAGTGCTATTGCTGCAGAGAATCACAGAGGTGACGATAGCTCAGTTCTGTGAAGGTATCTGAATATTGTGCATGCTGAAACAGGA